GGTGCATGGATTACATTCTGGCGCTGCTGTTGTCATTCTATTTTTATTTTCTCTTCTTTTTCGTTTGCGGTCGCTGAAAGGGACGCCGCCTCTCCGCGCTCGGCACTACAGCGTATTGCGCGATCCCGAACCCTCCGAGACGAGCCGAGTCGAGAGGATCCCATGGAAATAATACACAGTAGCCTTCATCAGGTTGTTGGTGTGAGGCAATCACGTTCTGAGAGGAGGAAGGGAAGCAGGGGAGGGGGAGAGAGAGAGAGAGAGAGAGATTGCTCTCGGAACTCCAGTAGCACGTAAGGTTTGTACCCTTTTCACACTCTCAGCTTGCTGTTCGGAAACTTTGTTCGAGTCTACCCTCCGCTTACCCAAACGCACCTCTGCTGAAAGGGAAAGCGCAGCCAACGACTTTGTCGCCATGCCACAAGAAATAAGCCAATGAATGGGGACAGTTCTCTTCCGAATCTGGAGCGGATTTGGTGGTTTTGTTGCTCATTTCACGCTGGGTGACTTACACTCGGCTTTTACATCGGGAGAGAAATGAGAGAAAGGGAGAGAGGGGGAGGGAAAAAGTTTAAAAGGACTAGACGTTGGTGGTGGAGAGGAGGGGGGGGGGGCAATAACAGCAGTAGTTATGAGTGGCATTCCGAAATTTGAGAGGTAGAGAGAGGGGAAGGCGAGGTGGGAGGGAGAGAGAGAGAGAGAGAGAGAGATTGCTCTCGGAACTCCAGTAGCACGTAAGGTTTGTACCCTTTTCACACTCTCAGCTTGCTGTTCGGAAACTTTGTTCGAGTCTACCCTCCGCTTACCCAAACGCACCTCTGCTGAAAGGGAAAGCGCAGCAAACGACTTTGTCGCCATGCCACAAGAAATAAGCCAATGAATGGGGACAGTTCTCTTCCGAATCTGGAGCGGATTTGGCGGTTTTGTTGCTCATTTCACGCTGGGTGACTTACACTCGGCTTTTACATCGGGAGAGAAATGAGAGAAAGGGAGAGAGGGGGAGGGAAAAAGTTTAAAAGGACTAGACGTTGGTGGTGGAGAGGAGGGGGGGGGGGCAATAACAGCAGTAGTTATGAGTGGCATTCCGAAATTTGAGAGGTAGAGAGAGGGGAAGGCGAGGTGGGAGGGAGAGAGAGAGGTAGGGAGAGGGGGCAGGTGTAGAATTAAAATGAACACGAAAAACCACAAAACACTGTTGGGCCGGGAGCCGTTGCCCCGTTCCCCGTTCGTTGGGTCCACGTACCACTTTTTGGATTTCGTTTTACGGAATGAGAGTCGAGAGCTGGCGTCAAAATATGACGGCGCGCTTCCTCACCCACTTGAAGCTGAGTCAAGGATAGTTTTAGTTCTGCAACCAACAAAACTTGCTGACACGCCCTATGGAAAGTAAAGATAAGTGAGGGGACAAGAGAGATTTTACAGTATCCTGGCTGCATATCATCCGAAACTAAATTCAAATGCCAAAAAATTAACATGAAAAAAACAACAACAACAAAAAAAAACGCCAAAAACATTGAGTTGCTCACCCATTTGATTATCACACAGTTTAAATTTGATGCGATCGTTTACAAACTAAAGGACCTCATATTTTTGTCGTCGTGCACAAACAACGAGGTGGGATGGTCCGTGCTACAAGGTTTCCCCCGGTAAATTGCAGCTTTGAAACGAGGGGGTGTGGCAAGTACCCACCCACTCCACCCGGTACTCGTGCAATAAACACGACCCACACGAGCTGAGGTGTTCCTAGTTCCCAGGCGTAATGCTCCAACAACACAGAGTTTTTCTATCTTTTTGAAGTTGTTGTATGTATTGGCGATGTATTGCCTTGTGGCAATAATTATTGGCAGTGCCCTCCCTTACTGAAAAGTGGTCAGGTTTCAAGCTTGTGACATGTTTCAAATACGTGACCATGACCGTTTGACATTCTCCTCGC